GGCCCGGGGAGCTTTCCCGGCCCCTGAGCGGACGCCTCGAGCTAAAGCTTCCGCTCGGCTGGGCCCCAACAGCGGGGATTTACAGCCCTTCCGTCTTCCTTTCGCAAAACCACACGCACTTTTTTTTTTTCCCCTTCTTTTTTTCTCCTCTCCAGTCTCCCAGCGAGATCTCTAAGCAACCTCGTAAGAACTGGTCACGCTACGGCAAGAACGGCATCAAGGTGGAAGGACGCGTCATTTCCATTACTCACCGTTTCCCAAGCCCTGCAGGGCCTTTGCTAGAAAGGCTTCCTAGCCTGGATGCTGAAAGGTGTCAGATCTGTTCAAAAACTGAACAAAGCATGAGCTTGTTTAACAAAGCATTGAAAGGGATCCAAAGCGTGGATTATTGCCTCCCACCTGCCACCCCCAAAGATCTGTGCCTCCATATACAGAAATGACAGTCCTCAACGATGCATTATAAGTGAAAAGTTAAGTAAATTAAACTCAATAATTTAAATACATTAAACTTCATGACTCTCGTTTGAGATATAGTTGCATGTTTAGACTTTGGCTAAATTCACAGTAGTATCTTGCTTCACTGCCCTACAATCATGATATCAAATAGAGCTTTCTTTTGATGTCACATGCTGCCAGTGAAAAAAATCCAGTTTATTTTTAGGAAAGGACTTTCAGAACCGAACCATAAAGAGGTGCCATTTTTCTTAACTTTTAGGATAAAAATTCCATTTTAGTCATACAAGATAATTACGAGATCTCAGTATAAGTCTGTACCTTTTCTCTCTACCTTTCAGTCATCAGCTTGCCAGTTCTTTCCGACCCTTGCTCTGCTCAGATTCATTTCAGATCTACACTGGGGTTTTCACTGTTTCTAAAAATGAAACTTCTCATGTGTAAGCTGTCTCATTGATTAAATATTTATCTAGATACATTGCATTATTGGAACCACAAGGGAAAAATAAACCTTCCTTTTTTTGATTAATCAATATTTCTAATACCTTTTAAGGGATTATTTGACACTTGAAAATGAATTCAAGTAAGCAGGGATAAACGTAGCGATCAATAATTCCAAATAATTCCAAGCACAGACAGTCTCAACACTGCACAGTCGGCTAAGACATGCAGAAACAGAATTCAATTTTTGTGAATACTAGTTCAGGATAGTTCCCTGTGTAAGACAAGCCCTAAAATCCTCTTTAAAAACAACCAACAAAACAAACACCTAAGTAAAAGACCATGCCTGTACCAGAAAAGAAGCCCTGATGAGAGTGTAGCATATGGGGCAGAACTTTTCTTAAACCCCTCTTATTCTTTTGTGCAACTTACTATCTGTTTGTTTCTAATTCATTTTTTCATCTCAGAGGAGCATTTTGGTGGCCATTTTGACATGCGTTACGTAACACCCCTGTGGATCACCTAAAAAAGCAAAGCTGAGCACAGCCACGCAGAATTCAGATTCATGCAAACTTATTTTAGGGAAGCGCAAGTCCCTTCACAGGAGATTCCACACTGACAATCCCCTTACGCTGGCAGTGTGTTTTCCAAACACCAACTGGCACCAAGGCTCAAAATCTGACCCCAGCAAGCGCTTCCAAAATTGGTCTTTTTTAAAAAACAGTTTGCAAAACAGGCTATTTTTGAAAGATCTACAACTTAACACTTAAAATTTTGAATTTAAGCAAGGACACTTGTTACAAATAACTGATTTTGAAACATACTGAAATGGGGTTGCACTTTGGGTTTGTTTTAAAAAAAAGCCAGCCTACCAATTAACACTTCTGTATTTGTTTGATATATGGGAAAAGTGCTGCAGAATGGCCCAAGAAACAGATTTTTTTACATACAATTTAAACTCCACAATCTAAATCTTCTCTTAAAATTAAATATCGTCTCTGTGATTTCAGTGACCTTTCTGAAAAAAAAAAAAAAAAGCTGTACAAAGCTAAAATAATCGTTTTAAGTCTAGAGCCAGTCTGAAATAACTCATAACTGTATTTAACTGGTGGCTAAATCTGAAGCTTATTATGACACTGAAATATTATCAGCACTGTTACAAAACATTATCAAATAGGGATGGAACCCTTACGTATCTGGAAATTAAATGCAGCTATACATTTGCTCTGTAGGATTCTTCATACAATTAATCTCACTTCCCTACTTTATATCACCGAGTAGGGAGCAGACAGCTTATTTGAGAAAGCGCTACTGTACTGCAGAGGAACAGAAAATAAAAATAGAAAAAAAAACTGTTCTAACATTTCTATACTGTTTTTAAAAAGATGTTCTGTCAGTGACATTTTTTATACATCACTTCTCGATAGTCAAACATATTCTGTTATGTTTTGTATTATCACACACTTGCACATCTCAGTTAACAAAATCAGGCTGTGAAGATCTGCATCAGACAATTGATATTCCCAGTGTCTGGTTAAAGGCATATATTATATATAAACATAATTTCATAAACCAAATTAAATCCATAAGGACAAGGCATGTTGAATCATTTCTTTATAAAGCAAATCCATTTGATAGCAAAATTTCTATTTTTTAAGGACTCCTTCCTAAAAAAAACCCAAAATCTATAAATGACTAATGCGATTTCATTTAGGGCACCCAAAAACCTGCTTCTGGCTCTGACAGATGTTCAATTTAATAAAGGCCTAGACTAGAAGATCAGGTTGTCTCTGCCTTCTTTTGCTCTCCCATCAGTTAGTAATGTTTCTCCTTGAAATGTGATGCCTTTTCCTGAGGCTGTTTTTCTACTAGACTGCATCAATTGCTTCACTTCAATTAGCAAAGGCAGTTTTACTTAGGGGGGAAGGATTAGACTGAGCCTGTTCAGTGCCACACAAGTCTCATGTAACTGCTTGGTAAACGTTAACAATTTCTAGTTAGTGATCTTTTGTACTTAGAGCTTTGGAAGACAGTAATTAAAGAAATACCTTTCCTGTTGAAAAAAACCTGTCATTGAAGCATCTTGCTCTAAGAAATCCAGATGCGATCTAGTGAAAGATGAACTGGTAAGGCTCTTGCCAGGCTGGTGTTTTTATCTCTGTAAAATAAGAACACGCAGACACAAATGAAAAAGAAAAGGAAATTCAAATTCAATTCAATTATTGTATTTGAAAGTACGCCTTTAGAAAAAAAAAAAAACACACAAAAAAAGCAGGGGCTTATGGCTGGTCACTGACTTGATCAGTATTTGACAAAACCAGATCCACTGAAAGCAGTAAGCTGTCTCTTTGAGTTTCAGCTCATGAGCCAACAGCAGACCAGAAATTAAATTAAGGTTTCCTTAACCTCATCTGTAATTATGTTATTTTATCCTAACTCCTACTGACAGGACCTAGATTACGCAAGTGTTTCCCTTTGCCTTTATGAAGGACACCCCCATTTGTCTGGCTGCAGATACTAAAGGTAGCCAGATGCACGAAGAGACCAACCCTCTGAATTTAATGACTTGCTTTAGTACTTAATAGTTGTTTAAGGATCTTAAACTTTACCTGGCAGAGACAGCTTAATGGGAGAAGAAATAGACTTCTGTGCGAAGCCAGATTTAAAAAAAGAAAAAAAATAAAAATCTATACACAAAACCCAGCAACACTAAATAAATTAACATACAACACGTTCTTAATAGGATGGCAAAGACGGTTCAGAATCGATCCTCTCCCTTCTGAACAACCGTTCCCCATCACGATCCCCCTTTATCTCTGCACTGCTGCTGCGCAGCTCCTGAACACCAACCAAAAGTAAAGCCCGTGTTTTCGCAGTATGCGATCTCCTCCACGCAGACGGGCTCCACACCCCTTTCCAGCAGTCAGCATTCCCCCCCAGCCCTGCGCTGGGGGAAGCTATGACAGCAAACTTACCGACACAGCTGCTTCAGACACCACACACCATCTGCTGAAACAGCAGGAGATGGCCCTACACACTGCACTACAAGTTGTCCTATTTTCCAGAGGGTTTTATTTTTTCCACTTAATTACTACTACTATATCACTTTGGTTTGGATTGGCAGTAAGTATGAGCTTAACAAACACTGTTTAATAATTTATTAACTTTTCCCATTGAATGGTACATTCGCTCAAGAGGACTTAAACAATTTTCCAGTAATTTTATTTACAGTCTGGAGTGTTCTGTAAAACACAGTAATGATTACAGACCAAAACGTACAACATACATATTTTCAAACATTTAAATATAAGCACAGTTTATTCAAAAGTAATTCTACACACTACTTTTTCCATAAAAATATAAAAAATAGTTTAGTTACTATATTTTACCTAAACCAGGATATTTAAGAATTCTTCCACGTGTGATGCCCCCTCCCAAAAAAAGGGAACTCCAACAATAAGAAATTTAGGAGACCGCATCACTAATTAAAACACTACTGCCAACTGCTCAAATCCACCAAAAGAGCAAATTAGGATCATTTTGCAACCAGCAATAAACGTTCTGCAGTATGTTCGGATTTTGTTGTTGCTGTTGTTTTGCACTAACTTGCTTCTCCCATGCTGGATTTTCACAGACACGTGTACACTTTGTTACATAGAAATAACAGACTGATAATACTGCAGACTATAACGCCAGCCACCATGTGCCCAACAACACGGATTGATAATCTTGCATTACACGACAATTTTTTTTTGCAAAAATATCAAAAGAGAAACATCTTCCTTTGGGAACTCTATTTAAAGGTGACTCCTTTTCTTACTGAGCATCCAGTGAAAATAGCCTTTCTCTCCTCTCTCTGTGAAAACAGGGCCTGTTTTTGTTTGTTACTACTCTCTCTCCAGTTTTATTGGCCATCTTCTGTACGGAAAGCTAATTGAGTATTGAAAAACACCCACTCAAGCCCTTCTCTCACTAGGACACGTTTACAAAAAAGGCACAAAGATGAAACTCCTAAGCAGCATCAGTCATAATTCTTCCACTATGCACAGCTCCTCTTTCTCACACAGAGGCTGCTGCAAGAGACATTCTTTGTCTCCGAGAGTATTACAAATATATGAGCTAAGGATACAGGCAAAGTTGAAGACTAAAGCCTTTGTACATAGGACAAGTAGTATATTGATCATTAACAAATGAGCACTATTAAAAGTTTACGTTGCAATTAAGACTCAACCTGGAAGCATCAGGAAAAGCCATCAGAAAAAAAGCTCAGCAGCAAATAATACATTTGTTAACAGTGAAATGGAAGTCCCGTGTGTGCAACATTGTGCATTCACTTTCAACAATGACAGTGCTCTACAGCCAGCAGTGTACAACTTTTGCTTCTAAACAGTTTAGAGGGTTTTCTAAATGTAAGTGAAACTGCCAAAACCAGAATTGTAGTATATGATGCACAGCATGATCTGCAACAAAAAGCTTTTGCTTTCCATCATGTAAACATCAGGGTTACTGGACCTTAGCTCATATAAACAAATCTGATGATAGATTTTTTTTTAAACTAAAAAAGTAAAATTTTCCATAAAAGGATTAACCACAAAAATACTCTTTCAATAAGTCTCACATGCCATTTAATACCTTTTATGTCATATGACCAACTATGCAAAACATTTAGAAAGTTTTAGCCGTAGAAACGTTGACCAGTTAAACTGTTTGGCAATAACGTGTTCAAAACATCTTTGAAGAATGTTTTCATTCACTAACATCAGTTCTACACTGTACCACACTATTTCTTCTTTTTTTTCTTTGGTGGTTCATCATCAGAGCTACTGTCTGTGCTGCTGCTGCTACTGCTGGAGGAACTAGAATCTGTTTCAAACTCTGAAGAAGAGGAAGTACTACTTGAAGAGGGAGAGGATGAGGAAGTAGAGGAGCTCTCATCACTGTCACTGTCTTCATCAGAAGAAGAGGTAGAGGAGTCTTCACTGTCAGATGAGGAATCGCTAGCTGAACTGGCACTGCTACTGCTGCTGGAACTGGTCACACTTTTAGATCTGAAAGAAAACAAATACACAGATGAGAACAGGCCGGCCAGAGACAGCATTAGAGAGTGTTCTTCATACTCTGGTATAATTCAAAGATCAATTATTTGGGCTAAAAGTTTCCAGGCCTGACTCAATCTTAAGGAGAACCAACATTTTTTTCTTCCCCCTTCCTTTCTGAACAAAGACATTTTTTCTGTTTCAGCAATGGCAGAGTGACACCATGCAGGTGAAGTAAATTGTCCTGGACAACGTGAAAGCCAAAACAGGACTACAGGAAAAAGTTAAATTTGAAAGTTGGCAGGGTCTTATTCATAGTAACGGCTGTCTTCGCTGACAGAGCTAGCTAGAAGAACAAAGTTGCAGGAAAAACATGAATGTCATATACCACTAAAGCCTTGGGGAAAATTAAAGATCAGTTCCCTGGCACATCACTGTAATGAGGAGTGAAATTTTGACTATGTTAAAGTTGATGGAATTTTCATCAGTGACTTCACAAATGTTAGAATTGTATTCAGAGACTGTTCTTAGATTACTCATGGCAAGAGAACCCAACCTACCTGCCATCACAGGATGCCTAAGCTTTCAGGGTGGGGAAGGAGGGGTAGATGTCCCTGGGGAAGCCCAGTAAGAAGACAGAATTGTGAATATTGGAAAGTAGATATGCCATGGATTTCTGCATGCTCTACAACTTAGGTTTTTTTCATACTAATGTAAAAAAATTACTAGCTTTCCCATTAAAAAGATGCAGCCTTTACTGAAATTTTATGGTCTTTGAATGAACAATATAGTATGAACGCCAAGAAAATACAATTAAATTCTCCCATAGATCTTTCTTCAAGCAAAGTGTAAAGGTACTAATTCATTCCTACCTTCCCACCAACTAAGTCAACTGAATATCACTCTGACAGCGTGCAAAAATGCTAGCTATAATAATGCAGACTCTTCTTTCCATTAGAAAGTTTAATTGTTTTATTTGAGGATTTGGTTAAACATAACTCAGGAAGTGCGTAGGTTAAGGCTATAATAGTCATACTCATGTCAACTGACAAATCTAGATGCAGGTATTAAGCTATGAACCACTGAAGTTTTTACAATACATCTGGCATCTGTTATCTGTGTGTGTACAGACATAATGTCTGTTTAATAAAAAAATCCATACAGGCTGGTTAAACACAAGCTTACTGTTGGCAAAAAGTCTCACAATTAGAAAAATAAAATAATGAAACTAGTAGAAATGCGTTTTAAAGGGGCATTTAGCCTTTGTGGAGGGAACTGCTAAACAGAGCAGTAGTTTCAACAAAAGCAGTTTCATTAGAGGTGCAGGCTCATTTATAGAGATAAGAATCAGTCAGAGGCTGCCTTGAACAAGAACAGGACTTTGAACTTTCTCTTCCTAACCACCTTTCACATATCCCATAGGAACAGTCCATGGGCCTCCAATATTCAGGCCATGCACTGAGATCCACTCACAGCACCATCAGAACATAACACTTAACATTCTTCTCTCATAGATCTAGCCATCGCTCTCCAAGAGAAACAAACACAGATGCTTGTTTTCAGAAGGTGATGCAGTATGTGGCCAATTAGCAGTTGCAAAAGAAAAAAAAATGGACAGTGGAACAAGTAAAATTTGCCTATGTAATTGGGACAAGATGAAATAGCATGACACTCCAGGTGCTGTACACTGGTAGATCCCCGATTTTGGGGTCTGTTGCACCACTGGAAGCCCACAAAGTTTCTCAGCAGACCAGCATTCACTCTCCTCAAAACAAGCTCCCGAATGTCTCATGATTCCATGCACCAACTGTGGACCCAGTGCTGCGTTCTGGAACGCCTGCTTTCTGCCACCCTTCCTCCTTTCTAACTCTATCGGAATCATCCAACAATCCCTGGTGTTTTTAAACACTGTACTTAAAGCTGCAGTTCTGGGCACAATCACAGCTGGGTGCCTCAGGGAACAAATGAATTAGGACAGGATTTTAACTCTTCAGACAGGTAGAATCAGATGCGATTTAAGCATCAAGGGGCTTGCGATTAAGAACCCAAGTACACCATATAGGAATGATGAAGCTAACATGTACCCAGAAGAAAGCTCTATGCCACCTAAGGTACAAGACTGTAACAGCAGTTTTGCCTGTTCCTGTTTTTCTGGTTAAGCCTGTAGGTTACTTGTTACTGTTTATATCAAAACAAACATACAGTATGCAAAAGGTTAGTGCTCACTGCTGCTGGAATCTCAATTTTCGCATTTCTTCAGTCTGGAACTTGCATGTGCAATAGTAATGCTTTACCGAGTGTTATGCATTTAATTCTTCCTGCATCACAGTAAAAATATAAGTTGCATATAATCTGGAAATGAAGTATATTGATGGATTCTAGGCTTGCACAAAAACAAGATAGTAAATCAAACCTAAAAAAGTTAAAGACTTTAAGAAAAAAAAAATCAAACAAAATCCTCCACAAATAAATTGTGGGGTTTTTTCCTCCTTCATTTTATATTGGGTTAGTAATCAAATAGTCTGAGAATCATTATGCCAGATAGAGGACTTCAGCATGAGAAACCTGAGCAAGGCAGACATCCGAATTACATCGTTTAAAGTGCATATAATTTACAATCTCACTAGTCCTCAGTAATTCCAACATAAGCAGCACTATTGAGAAAGGAGTCTTTGATAAAACTTACTCTGATAGTAGAATTAAGACCCTGGCCAGGAAGTATTCTAGTAAAGCCACACAACGCAATAGCCTAAAATAAAGGCATGTTTTAGAGAAACTGCTCCGGCCTATTTAATGATTGACACAAAAACAAAAGGTCCAGTTCTTAAAAATTTTTTGCAAACTGTTTTTACAAAGCAGGGGGACAGCCAACTAAGTGCAGAGACGCCAATGATGCCATTACTGTACAGTCATCCCCTGAAGGTAAAACTCATGACATGATTAGCACACATATTGCAACCAGGGTTCTAGCTGATCCTGAAAGGGTTTTACTAATAAATATTTAAGTAGATTCCCGAGCTAACAGTACTACACATTTACAGTGGGAATAGCGTTAAAAGTTCTTGGTTCAAATTAGGATTTTCTTCTCTTTTGGTGGTGGTGGGGAATGGAGGATTTAGTTCCTAGGTGTGTGGGGGGTTTTTTGTTTGTTTGTTTTTTATAAAGATACTTCAATTCATTCTCTAGACAAACTTTGAGGGAGACAGCTGTTAAGGGAAGGGAATGAGCACAACAAAAGGAAGAGCAAGATGGGTAGGTGGAGCAATCGCCGATTAGAAAACAGTATGCTGTTCTTGCACAATTGTTTAAAGTACACTTCATGAACTTTGAGGCAGAAATAACAAGTTTTTTTTTTTTTTTTTACTATTAAAGCAAGCTCATAGAGAGGGTGAGCAGTAAGGAAGAAAGCAAAACACAACAAATTTAGACCTTTTGGACAGGGAGGAAAAACTCAAATATCTGTCATTCAAATGCCCGTAACAGACTAAAAGCAGTAAAATCAAATCTGCATTTGCAGTGTTCATTTTCAGTTTCCCCACGCACCCCCTTCCACATTGCCAACTGCAAAAATGAGTGCAAGATCACACACTGAAATAGCTGCACAATTTGTTATCGTTCCCCACGTACCTTTTTTTCTTGGTCTTCCTTTCTGCAGTACTTTCTCCAGTGCTAATTAAGAGGGGGAAAAACAATGGCTTTGATTAATGCGGTAGGAAAATTAAATAAATAGCAGCACAATGGAGTTGAGTTTAATATTAGAAAACTGGTATCCCACTGACAGAGAGCTGCACTGTCCAAGGTTCCTTAGGCATCTCTCTCTATCTCAGCCTCTTCTCAACCCAGAAGGAAGACAATCCCTACAAATCCAGGAAAAGAAGTCTGCAATTCACCCCTACTTTTCTGTATTAAACACACTTTACTCTTCTCTACTCTTCATATTAAAGGGATAACACAATTTGGGGGTGAGAAAAGCAGGGGGGAAGAAATACGCAAAAAATTTCTATGTACCCCCATTCAGCAATAACTGAATTGATTGAAACAAAGGTCTAAGAGACTGAATCAGTCTGTAGGACTTTTTTAAATGTATGTCTTTCAGGTACCACAGAGACAGAACAGTCTACTTCTATTCATGCTTTCCAGCTATTTGTCTTCCAGATTCTCAGGTATTCATACACTCACAAAGTTTTAGTGGCAAACTCTGGAGAAGAAAGCTTCTAAACACAACACTTTCTTGAAGAGATTTTACCAGTTCTCACATCTGGAAGGGTTTTTTTTTTTTTTGGTTTTATATACAAAACAATCTTTGGGTTTAAATTCACTCACATCCTCTTCTTAATCCATTGCAGAAAGTGCATTAGCCGCAGCACTTAATTCAACCTGGAATGTACCTGTATGATTAAAGTTGTCCCACAGCATATTCTTAGCACATGCTTAACACGCCACTGATTTGTGAGGAAGTTGTACGTTCTTCCACAAACTAAGATAGATTTCACTTGAAAAAAGTATTACTGGAAGCCACCTTAAGCGCACAGAAATAAAAGCGAGCGCCTACAAGTATACTTTAACTTAGAAATTATAAAGCAGTCTGTGTTGGTAAAGATTCCAGAAAAGGGTAAAAGAAGAGAACGTTAAATGTAAACTGCACTATATTTCAATGAAAGTTCCTCAATGCCATTTGTATGTCAACAAAATGAGATTTTCATACAACTGGTAAATTATTATAGAGGAGAGTTCTCCTCACTCCCTAAATATCCTCTGTAGGCAAGAGAAAGATTCTTTGAACTTAGAACCAATTTATTATCACTCCCATTTTACAGAATTTTCTTACTATTTGTATTATTAAGGCATATAAGGCCTTAATATAGGTAATATAGGTAATAATATAGATAATATAACCTTATTATAGGTAACATAGGTAACCAGCTATTTCACAGGTAAGAGGCTGAACAAGGTCGATAGGTAGATAACAAGGTAGATAGAGTTAGAACCCAAAACACCTTTCAGAAGAAAGGACCTAATTGAGTAGGTGACTAACCCAGGCTAACACGGTATAGGTCTCTGCCACCCTCTAGTGTTTAACATATTCATAAATTAATGAGTTAGCTACTGTATGGAACCAGACAACCGAAAGTGGTCAGTCCCTGCAGATCAAACAAACCCGTTTCACTGTGCTTAGTCAAGCACTCCCTGCAGTGCTCTCAGAACCATGAATAAAACTCAAGCTTTCTGGTTCTGCTTCAACATAGCCATATCACTAAGGATTAAGCATGCTCTCACCTTGCCTTCCTTCAAGTTATTCTTTCTGTGAAGAATAAGCTCCATTCTCGAAAGTGTAATATTGGTATCCAATGAACTGGATGCCTCAAGGCACAGTTAATGAGCCTCAGAGAGCTTATGACCCTGTAACCGGTGTGAATCCAGCCCAGTTCAACCAGGTTTGAAAACTGCTCTTGTCTAAAGGATATTTAGGCAGCCTTTTATGAGGTAAGTTTCCACACCACATATTCCTCACATTGTGGTCTAACTGCTTGATTTAAGGGCAGAAAAACTCTATTGGGCACAGGGATTGGACAGTCCTATAACGCCTATATAAAATCCTCCTATACTTAGATTTAGGCACAACGGCTAGGCAGCAAGTTTTTTCATCCTCAGTTAACTATACTCCCATTCTACCCTGCAGAATTTGATAGAAGTAGATTATTTCATTGTTCTCTTCCTGTACTGAGTCTTAAACTCAAGCTTTGCCTTAAAAATCTTGATTCTCTGAAAAACTGTTCCAAATTCTGCCCTCAAAGGCAGTATATTTTAGCGTTTAAGCGCTCCCAATTTCTTATCCTATACTCATTTTCTATCCTATCCTCATACTAGGATATCCTCTACCCTATCCTAGAGGAGCGGATTAACTTCATAATTACTCATTGGATCAGAATTCATTAAAAATATTTATATATACCAAACAATACTCTTAAGCCAAGCTAATGGACTGTCCTGCTCTTCCTCTTAAGTAATTATTTCAGCAGTCTGATTCATATTCCTGTCCCAGCTGCAACAGCTGATGAAGTCAGACAGGGGTTACCACCTATTTGCCTTCCCCAGCAAGACGACAGAGCAAGAGGTGTGAACACTTCCACAGCTCACATCCTGGTAATAATAACAACCTACAACCAACATACTGAGCTGCATGTTGCAAGCAACAGAGGATGTGTTGCCCAACCCTCAGCAATTTTCGCCGCAATGGCTGAGAACGGTACTGTCCCTCAGTGGGGCTAAGGTAGCAACCTCTTCAGCTACTGCAAGGGCTGAATGGAAAACTCAAATAGGAATTTAATGGAAAACTAGTATGATATATTACTTTTCTCTTTGTCAACTGGAGTTGCTTACCACTCCAAGACTATGGTAAATAATTCAATACAAAATGGTTCTAGAAAATTAGAAACAGAATTACTTCATTTAGGTCCTATATAGATTGTTTTACATCCATAGGTATGCTACTTAACTTTTTTTGAAGAGCAAAAACTTAGGAAAGAGCCAATAAAAGCAAATTTCCTACTTACACAGCTCATATCCCCATATGAAAGGTGAGAGATTTTGAATACTGAGATCAGGCAAGCCTATCAAGATCCTTCACAGCTATTTCTCATAGTACAACTTTGTCTTCTTTTCTTTAGAAAGAAGTACAATTTTAAGTGGGCGCACTGAACACTAGGGTGAACTTTCCTTCTGTGACTTTCACCCACAGTTCTGCAAGGTACGAAATAGGCAGAGGTTCATCGCTTGAGGAGCCTCATTCCAAGTTTTTACCTTTTTAGTACCAAGGTATTTTCTTTAATCTTTTTTTAAAGGCTAAGAGCACAGGGTCAGTCACACACACTTCCCCTACTTCACCATCTTTAAAAATGGTGATATCTTTGCTTAGATTCTGTTTAAGTTCAGAAATCTTTGTTTATCTCCAGAGAGAGACAGCTCTGCTGGGATTCGAAAGAAAGTTTCACCCTTCCGCAGAGACATCATAGCAAGTTGCAGGCCCAGAAACAAAGACTCAAAGTCATAAGCGACTGACAGAGGAAGCCGCAGCTGTAATGTTTTCAACATGTGGTACTTTTGGATTTCAGCTGGCTTGATGAAGCATTGTGTAGAATTGCTTTCAATACCACAGCATGGTGTTTAACACATCAAGACACCCAGTAGCAGTCTCACTATTACAGCAGCAGTGCAGGGGAACACACCAATAGTGTGCTGGTCACACACTATTGTCATTTCAGAAATGACGTGAAGTATTCCTATGTTTGCTCTGGAAGTTCCAGTTAAATTACTTCAGTTCTTCTTCAAAAATACTTCAGATTAAATGCACAAAAGTTTAATGCTTCTCCCAAGTTAAACAATTAAAGTTTATCCACAGAATAAAGTGGAAAGGAAATCACATTTCACATTAACGCAGAAGTTTGCTTGGGTTTTTCTGTTTAACTGCAGATATCTTCCCCACTCTCAGATGTCAAAAAGGGAAAGAACGTAAATTCAATGAAAAAATATAGAGCTGAGAATACCTGATGATGCACCTCTCATGCACCAGTTTAATCATTTCACCTCATAATGAGCTATATACAGGAACCGCGCTCCTGGCATAGATCCACTGTCAGGCAGCACCCAGGGTTTAAGTCTGCATAGTCTAACTGCAAATCTGAGCAAAAGTGAAAGAATCACTTTTTTTCTAAATACGCTTACAGTCCTCACACCAAACTTTTCTTACTTCCACATAAATACGTAAAGCCACATAACTGAGGAATTCAGGAAACAGTATTCCGTAATATAAAGGCTCCAACTATTTTAACTTTAGCCTAGTGCGCTTTTTCATTTCAAGATGCACTATAAAGTCTATAGGTTGGCCTGTTTTAGACAGGCAGATGTTAACAAACAACCCCTTAATTTTGTGGGACCTGAGTGTACAGGTACTGTCTGACATATGCAACAGTTTTAATATCAACAGGTATCATACAACCTGAAAGAAGACAGAGTGGTCCAAGACTATCTTTCCCATCAACATACAAACCCACATTTTTATTTATAAACTGGAAATTTTCATCCTGCCCGTCTTACCTTTGTTGCAGTAACAGTTGCTTTTCTTTTTCTTTAAGAACTTTCGCCAATTGAGCTGTCCTCGAAGGTCTATGCAGATATTTTCTCTTCCCTGTACATTCATACGTCCAGTGTCCAAACTCTAAACACTTTTGACATCTTACATGCTGCTTGTTTGCCTCCCTATAAAAATGCAGAATTGCTTAAGTGACTGATTCCAAGTCTGTTCTACCTATTGAAAAAATATGAATTACTTTTTAGCATACAGATTCTTAAGAGCATATGTAGTTATGATTAAACCAGACTGATGTTCAGCAGTGCGTTAGCTATTACGTTTCCCAAATTAGGGCAAGAACAGTAACATCAAACACTGGAGAGGTACAAGTTTACAGTTACACACTGAGTTTTGCCAGACACAGGCAGCTCCAATTATTAAAATATTCTCACATCAACTGTTTATCAAAGCAAACAAAGAGATACTTCCTCTATTGCAGAGCTTCAGCATAGTCATCTTCTGCTGAAGTAGCAAATGTTGAATTACTGATATCAGCGGTCAACACACTGATCCACTACACCCCAATTTCACTTCATTTTTCTAAAAGCTTCTGGCTAGCCAACTTGCAATCTTCCCTCACTCTTAAGAGTCCATAACTTCCCATTCCCTTCCAAACCTTCAGCGTTCTTCAAAATGTTTAAGTTGCTTAATAGGAGCGTTCCCTGTCAGCAAACAAAGATTAACCCCATCAGCAACATCCCATTCTCGTCAACCCAATTGGCACAGCTTTCAGTATTATAGGATATAATCACACAACAGCCACTGGGAATTATCATGCTACATACAATTTGTTATCACCCAGTAATTGCACATGCTTCTGGATTTCTTGAGATAAGCAATTGAAATGATGCTCTACATCACTGTTTGCAAAGTTTGGGCAGCTTCATTTCCATTTCCTAGAAATTAACACTCAGGTGCCAAAAACACCGTCAAATTCTCACAAAGAATCTAGGACTCTGTGCAAGTCAAACAGAGCTGCTCCTATTAGTGCATTACCTGACTTCTAATAAAATTTATTAAAGCCTGGCAGAAGGCTTATTGTAAGAACAATCAGGTTCTTGCTTCCTTGGTGAAAAGCGTATCGTGCAAGACTTTACTTAGCAATCTTTACCATCCGAATATCCGAAGTATTAGCAAGCATTTTTACATCCACATTTCAGTTTTCATACTGTGATGCAATACTTTGCCAGAATATGGAGGGGGCAAGGGGGTCTGCCTTACAAAACACACACACAAAGAAAAAAAACACCGCACATACTTTACACCATTCTGAAGTTCTGCAAAAACTTTTTTTTTTTTTTTTTTATGTTCTCACAGACACCCACCTCCTTTACAAATGAGGAAACTCACACAGAGGTCAAGCGACTCACTCAAGATCATACCACAGATCAATTTTACAGCTAGTTTTAAAATCAGGATTTTGCAGCTCCCGCTCCGTTCACTGCGAATGCTGTAATTGCTGTAATTTATTTCCACCTTCTACCATTTTTCCAACACCAAAACATTCATTCCGCAAGGGCAGCCCATCTAAACGATCTGAAATTAACAGCTCTGTCTCAGATAGGGGGAAGCTCCTCGACTGTACATTTAGTATTTAGAGAGTGCAGTGTGACAGACCAGTAGTGAACGCTCTGCCCTCAGAAGGGGTGGAGTGCTGCTCTTCAAGATAACGTATGAATTGCAGTCTCCTTCAACTCTAGCTCCTTGTAACAGCTGTGTTGTATCTTGATTAGTCCTGTTATGAACATCCATCCTGCTTTCAATGCCAAGTTTATTTGGCTTCATAGTCTAGCCTTAGAAACATTGATGTAAATCAGGACTAAAGAACTAATTAAACTTGCAATCAACTCTGCACAATTAACTCTGACTTCAACAGGAAACAACACTTTTAGTCCTGAGGGGAAAAAACAAAAACAAAACCCACACACAAGGTCTTGTGAATGGTTTAAGTTCCATCTTCTTCCTGTGTCCTAAAAGACATCTTGAACAATACACAAAACTCTTCTGAATGCCTGCAAAAGAGTATCTGAATAACCGTCACACTGTGCAAGATGCACTTTGCCTTAAACAAAATAGTACCTCATTTAGACCAGAAGTCCACTTGTTTATGTTAAACAAAAAACAAACACAGAAAAGGTTTTTAAAGACCAGAACTTTAGCTCATTTCAATCAACAAATAAAACTGTAGAACAAGTGAGGTTCTAGATAGCAAAGGGATAAGCAACAGACTGTAAGTGTGGTACTTAGACAAACATAAGCAAAATATTCCTGAATGGTTACAAACTATACTTAAAACACTGCTGCTGATGAGCAGCGCTCCTCCGGGTGCATCTAAGGATGCCCAAACATTAACCACCTCACACTCCAGCACCCTTGAAAGAAGAGGTTAAAGTACAAATAATGTAACAGGTGCTTTGAAAGGCTTCATAAAATTAAAAAATGTTTAGTTGTGGGCCTGCTCTTAAAATAAATGAAGTATACCACATGTGCTGCAGGGAAATTGATTTAAGTTTCATACACACACACACACACACACATAAAAATCATCCCTTTTTCTTTTCCTTTCCAAATAACATTCAGGTAGGTTTAAGGCTGTACCCTAACACTAAGGACAGAAACACGATGTTTCACTTCGTCAGGTATGCTCAAAACATGTTACTGTTTTTATATACCTATTATTCATTCACACAAGAACGCAGCAAGCTTTAGCATGTAGGAAAGTTTACACTGAGAAGACAAATACAAGTGAACTACTGCAACAAAAACTTTTTTAAACACACAAACTACATTTACATTTTGATTTTTGCTAGTATTAAACCACTGCAAAGAAAACTGGGACAAAACCGGTAACTTATTTCTTTACTAGGAAAGCGTCCGGTGTAATTCTTGCCTTGGACTTCTGACTCTGATGCAGTCATTACACATGAGCAGAACGAGAACTCTCTCATCCTCTTAATCAAGATAGAAAAACATTTACGTTTTGTTGCTTTGTATCTCAGGCCAGCCCAGACCATAGGAACAGAATGGGCAGTCAAAGCAACAATAATATAATTCAGCATTTCCAAGGCTTTAATGCTATTCACCTGACCGATGTAGACAATTCTATGCAAACTAAAATGTTAAGATAAAATCCTAAAAGCAATATAATAAGCAATTACAGGAAGTAATAATTACTTATTAATTATTAATAATTAGGAAGAACAGATCAAAATAGCTCAAGAACTACAGATTTGTAAAGACAGTGTCAACACTGACAAGTTTTAACAGTAATTAAAAGCTCAAGACTAAAACAAACTTTTCACACAGATCAATTATCACAACCTAGAAGCAAGTCTTGGCAGACGTACAACTCAGCAATTCTCATCAAGCACATGGAGAAATAACACGCACTAAGAAATCATTCTATGACCAATATAAAATAGCAACTTAAAAAAAACAAGTATTCTGCAAGTACTTTGACATTCCAAGTATATTTTCCATTGGAAAGTAAGAAACGAATTATACTAGCTAATGAAAAAGTAAAGAGGCAGCAAAAACCATCCATATTGTTTCTAATGCTATGATCAGCCAAAAAAATCCCTAAGAACAAACCCCCTCCCTAAAAACCCAAAAACTCAAAACACGGCAGTAGAACACAGGCATCTGCTTTACTTAATGTCAGCAATCAAAAAACATTGGCTTTTCCTCATTTCAGCATTTGGCAATCAGATCTCCCCGATATTTAGAGAATCACCCAAAAGCAATAAGCATAACTGAGTAAAGGGTGCTTGCTTTCTCCCCTCCCCACCCCGGGTTTTTTTTTTAGTAATTTACTAAACATATTATAATGTGAAGCCAGAAATTATTTGGTCCCCCCCACACCTGACTGACAAGAGTGACACGATAAGACCTGTGCCTACCTGCATCACAAGGTCTTATACGCTTCACTGAAAGGGACGACATGCTAAACCCATAAGGCAGCCTTTTCCCAAATAGTTGCTAACTGGCGTTAACAGCAACGAAAGGGAAAGTTTTAGTCAATGGGGAGATTGCCGTTCCTTTTCAGGAATCCTGCTTTCATTTTTGATCATTTCACTGTAATGATTTTATTAATTCTTTAAATCACCATAACTCCCTACAACAGAGGGAGAAAACCTCCTGCACTCTGCTGCAGAGGACACACACAATTTTTGGTTTTTTGTTTTGTTTTTAAACAAGAAAGCAAACATAAGCTTATGTTTGCTATCTCAAGTCCCTCTAAAGCCTCCACCTTGCGCAAGATGGAGCCAGAAATCACTAATTCCGCAACTCTTACAAAAAACACGGGACCCTTCAGGTTCAGGGAGCCCAAAACACCATATACGGTCTTAACCCTGTCAGCTCCGAAACGAAGAGAGTCTCAGCCCGGTTAACAGGATGAGCCAAGCCTCACTTGGGAGCGTTTCCCTTACCCACCCGCAGCACCACGCTGCCAACAGCGGGGCACCCGTGAAGGGCGTCTGCTCTGCACGAAACTGCCCCAAAAGAGAGCCGGGGGGCCCCACAGCCGGGGGGAGGGCAGGGGAGGCCCCCGCTCGGGGAA